CCGCCCCCTGGTGGGCTGAGCTGGCCACACACACACACACACACACACACACACACACAAATAAATAAATAAATAAAGAGTACATAATTAAAAAAAAAAGAGCAATTCCTAGCCAAGTGCAGCAGCACAAACCTTTAACCCTAGCTGCTTGGGAGGCTGAGACAGAACTGCAAATTCAAGCCCAGCTGGGGCAGTTTAGTAAGACTCTGTCACGCCATAAAAAGCGCTAAGGGTACAGTTTAGTGGTATAGATAGTGTTTGCCCAGCATTTGCAAGGCCCATGTTTCAGTCTTTTAACACCACACTTGCACAGCAGTTCCTTTTAAATGCTTAGTAAGTGCTACCTTGAGGCTGGGGAGATAGCTCAGTGGCATAAGCACCTGCCTGGCAAGTGCTAGGTCCTGAGTTCAATCGCTGGTATGAAGAAAAAAAAAAGCGAAGAAGAAGTGCTACATGCATTACTACATAAAAAGGATAGTTAAAAATATTAGAGGTGGGGCCAGGGAAATGGCTCAGTGGAATAAGCGCTTCCCTGGCAAGTGCAAGGGCCCGAGTTCAATTCCTGGTTCTCAAAACAAAACAAAACAAACAAAAAATATTAGAGGCATAATTAAAAAGCATAAGGGGGCTGGGGGGAAGGCTCAGTAGAATAAGTGCTTCCCTGGCAAGCACAAGGGCCTGAGTTCCACCAAAAAAAAAAAAAAAAAAAAAAAAGAAAAGTATAAGATGATGGATTTGGGGGTAAATTGTGCAGGTCTCATTTCAGCTCTTGTGCTACAGGGAAGAGCAGTGACTGGGGGAAAAGATAGCCTAGGGTCCTCTTCCCCAGTATCTCCATCCCCCCACTCTCCCTAGACTGCACCCCGAGTTTTGTAAGCCTGACCTCATTCCTTCCAGCTGCCAAAAAGATGAATCATTAAAAGACCAGAGGTCCTTGGCCCAAATCTTGCTTCCTCTGTCTCTCCACAATCACAGTGCTTCTCATCAAAAGAATTTTATCTTTTGCAAGCCCTTCTACAAGCAGGCTGTGGAGCTCAGGAGGGCTCCATAAGCATGCAGTTTGGGCCTGGGTACCTGGAAACCCCTTTGCCTGAACCTCCCCACACATTTGTTCCTCTTCCCACATGTACTAGTCGGTGTCCAATGGCCTATTACCTCTCTTAGGAAGTCCTCCTGCAAGTCTAACTTAAATTCTTCTTGCTGGAAGGGACCTTTTTCCTTCCTGGGAACACAAGGGCCCTGAACACCCAAGATCTAGGCCTCTTACTGCAAACTCCCCCCGCGCACACACACACCTGGCATCCCCGTCATTCCCATTGGCAAGTCAAGTTTAGCTTGGTGTTCTTGCTTCCAAGGGGGGGTATCCATGGGTGTGGAGAGAGGATGTCTGGTAAGTACCATAAGACAAGGACTCTGGGATCAGAGGAGTCCCCACCCCCTCTTCAGAAGGACCTAGGAACCCCCAATAACTAGGGGAGTTTATATTTAGCTTTTTCCTGCTCTCTCTCCCCGTCAGTCTCCCTGCCCCCCCCCCCTTACAGCCTCCTCCCCAGGCTGGGACCAGCTTTGCCTGGTGACTGTGGTGATGGTGGGGGGCAGGCCTCTCACTACCACCTCTTGCCAGGCTGTGGGTGCTGAGGAATGGGGGAGGGGCACAGGACAAGGCTAGCCGATCCTCGAGCCTGCTCTCTCCGGATGGGGCGGAGTGGGGTAGCAGTGGTGAAGGCCCCCCACAATCCGCGCTAACTTCGGGAGGGGGCGGGGCCTCCCACAGCTGTTTCTGCTTGCAAAAAGAATGTGCAGGGTCCCACCGCCGGCCGGGGGAGGGGCTGGGCATCCGCGCCGTCTGGCTGCAGTTCTCTGCCCCACTTCCCATCTGAGGAGGGGGCAGCCGAGGTCAGCAGCAAGGAGAGCCCCCTCCCCCGCAACATCGGCTCAGGTTTCCCCAAATGGGAAGCTCTGACCACACACAGGCTCCGGACGGTGTGAGGGGAGCCAGGGTCTGTGGGCTGGGGGGAGGGGAGCGAGACTGAGCCATGGGGCAGGAAGAGCGCGAGGCGGCAGCGGACAAGGGAGGCGGACAGAGAGGCTGGACTGGGAGAGGGAAACTGAGTCTGAAAGTCTTGGAGATGCGGCGGCAGGGACAGAGGGAGAGAAGCCAGGAAGGGTCTGAGACCCAAGGAACGATGGAGGGAGAGAGGGCTTCTTGAATTTGCAGACCTCCGGTCATTTCCAAAATTAGACTCCGAGGGAACCCAGAAGTCAGGCTATGATGTGCCCCTAATCTGGTTGTTCTTGGATTAGGGAAAGCTGGGACCAGGTAGAAGAGAGAGGAAGTGTCACTAGCCGGTCAAGCTGCTGGTGGGGTCCTCCGAGACCACAGCTTCCTCTTAGCAGTGGTCCCTCCCCCAAGAGGCCTAAGATCCCCTCCTCCCACCCCGCCCCCTCCGAGATCTCCAAGCACGCCGGGACTTAGCGAAGATGGAACCCGGCTGCGGGGCCCAGAGGGGCGCAGATTTAGATCGCGACTGTGTGACCTTGGGTGAGTCACTTCCTCTCTGAGTCTCAGTTTCTCTCTCTGTAAAATGGGGACTATCACCGTCTATCTCCCAAGCTGCGAGAAGACAGCACATGCAAAGTACTCGGACCCGAACCTAACACACACTCGGTGCCCAGTGGGTTTTGTTTGGGAAAGCGAGCAAGGGTTGGAACCCATGCATCTCAGGGTCCCCCAGCATAGGCCATGCAGTGCCCCCTGCCCCGATTGGGGGGCGGGGTGACCAGGTGCTGCCAGCTCCCTGGACTCCCGGGCCTGCAGCTCTCCCCCTCCCTACCCACCCCTCAGGGCCGGTGTCTGAGCACCCACCCGAGACAGACAGACATGGGAGAGGGTGGAGAGACGGACGGACAGACGGTCTCTCACCAGCTGCTCCTCCAGGGCCGCAGCGGCCCGGCGCGCCGCCGCCGCATCCTCGTCCTCCTCGGCGTCCTCCTCGTCCTCGGCCTCGGCGCCCCCCATTCCGGGCTGGGCCAGCCGCAGCGCTTGCTGCACGCGGTATTCCTGCCTCTCCCGGAGCCAATGCAACTCACAGAGCCCGGCCAGGCTACCCTCCAGCCATCCTCGCAGCCGGCCCCGCTCGGGGCTCACCGGGAACGAGAAGGCCCGGATCATGGCTGCAGCCCCCCGCCCCAGCCCGGCCGGGCCCCACGGCCACCCCTCTCCCGTTCCCACCTCCCGCCCCAGCAGCCCTCCTGCCCGCCCGCCCGCTGGCCGGGCTGTCACCGTCTCATCTGCATAGGCGCCCGCCCATTGGGCCGCCCACCCGCACCTTATCTGCATGGACACGCCCCCAGCAACACAGCAACCGTCGCCTATTGGCCGATTTCGCTCCTCTACAAAGGCGCTTGGCTGTGCCCCCGCACCGCCCAACACGACGCATGCTCGTAGCACCCTACTCGCTCCGCTTTAGGGTCTCCTCGCCACGCCCCGCCCGGGTGCGCCGGCTTTTGGGCCTTGGCAACGCCCCCTGCGCGTCACAATGAAAGAAGTCGGCTTTTGCTCCATTTCTATTGGTCCATGCCTTCCAGTTCTGCAGCTGGTTCCGCCCCTGCAGGCGAACTCTGGCTACCATAGGACTGTGCGGGCGAGAGGGGACGGGTGTTCTATAAATAGAGAATAGATCCACGTGACAGTTTGGCAGCTGCTCCCACCTCCCCTCCCCAGCCTTCAGCTTTTGAGGCTGCGCGGGGGGAGCGCCAGATTAGAGGGTCGAACCTTGATCTACCCTCCTCTTCCAGGAAGCCTTCCCAGAGCCTCAGCTATAAAACGACACGCATATCTTTCAGATAAAACTATGCTTCTAAGTAAGCCCAGCTGCACAGGCGTGGGACTCGCTTAAAAGGACTGTCGCCCTTGGTTTAATGTTCTGCAGTTGCTGCCTTGAAATTCTTATCTTTTGAGCAAGAGACCCCCACATTTTCATTTTGCATTGGGCAGGCACATTAGGTAGGCAGTCTTGCTTCCGAAGGTCTTAGATCCGTTGCTTCCCACATGCTGGAATTAGAAGACACGGAATGGAAGATGCTACGATCTGACCAGAACAGAATCTAAGCTGCTTTTGTGTCCCAGGTACTGTGAGGCTGTATGCTCCGCCGGTCTGCGGCTCCAGGGCCCTTTGTCGTGTGTTCTAAGAGGCTTTGTTCTCGGTCTTCTGAGCTGCTCTGTGCCCGCGTTGTTTGGTCTTTGGTGTCCGAGCCCAGAGAACGGTTTCCAGGCTCGCTCCGCCGATGGGGCCAGCGCCCCCTCAGGTGGCCAGCTTGTGTCACTACGAGCAGCCTCCCTACAACCTTCAGGATGGATCTACATTAGCGGTCGGTGTCTGGTTGAAGTCAGAATTCTTTTTCACCCCTCCCGCTTGTGCAAGACCACTTGAATGAATTACTGAGTAGAATGTTCAGTGTGGAGCTGATTCAGAATGAGCTCCAAGAACGAGAGAACAAGAGACCGAAACCAAGATCTGAAGCCAGAAGACAGCCAGATGAGAGGAGTCCAAGGAGGTGAAGAGACACCTTGATCGGTGGAGTCAAGGGAGCTTAGCAATTCCGCAAGTTTCCTCGTACCAGTGCTGCATTGATGATGGTGATGATGGGGGTGCGGTGGAGTGGTGAAAGAGTTTCCAGCTGTAAAGATGCAGCTGTTGCTTCCAACCATGACAGACTCCTGCCCTGGAAGCCACATGCCCAGGTCAGCAGCTGATTGAGGTGGCAAGGCAGTGGTTTCCACAGCACAACGTGTCCCCTGAAGATGCAGGTGGCAAGGCAGTGGTTTCATTTTGGTTTGACTTTTGATGCTGGAATTGAACCCAGAACCTCCTGTATGCTGAGCAAGTGCCACTGAGCCTTATTCCCTGGCCATGTGACTTTTTAATTTTTTTTTTTTTTTTCTTTTTAAGTGCTGGAGAGGAACCCAGGGCTGCACACATGCTGGGCAGCCACGCCAGAGTTCTGCTATGCCTCCAGCCTCCTTGATTTCGTGGGTAGCCTGGATACCGGTGCCCTAGATACAAACATCACCCAAGCAAGGCTGAAGGCCTACTTAAATGTACTTAATTCAAGGCATCTCCAGATCTTATCTCAGTAGGTAAAATGCTAACTTCCAACTGACTTTTGCCATGTCAGAGACCTTATTAAGACTTTGAGCTCTTCTAGTAGAGCACAAGATGGAGGAAGGAGTCGATGAGGAAATAACGGAAGATGGGAAGACTAAGAGGAGGTACGGGCAAGTCAGCTAGGGAACTGTCCTGTGAAAGTGGTTTTTTGAGACAAGGTCTCGGTAACCTAGGCTGGCCTTGACCTCGCTATGTAGTCCAGGCTGGCCTTGAACATTCTGGCACTGCTCCTGCCTCAGCTTCCCAAATGCTGGGATTATAGGGATGCACCACCATGTCTGGATTTATGTATTAAATTATATAATAATATAAATTCAAAAATAATGAAGACCTGAGGCATTTAAATTTTTTTTAATTATTTTGTTTTGCTTTTGAGGGCTGGGGAGATGGCTCAGTAGAATAAGTGCTTGCCTGGCAAAGCACAAGGGCCTGAGTTCAATCCCTGGTTCCACAAAAAAAAAAAAAAAAAGAATAATGTTTTGTTTTTGTTACAAGGTCTCACTATGCAGCTCAGACCTGTAGTGATCCTCCTGTCTCAGCCTCCCCAGCATTGGGATTACAGGTATGTGCCACCACACCCAGTTTTGGGGCTGGCACAGCGCACCTGGGGTTCCAGGGCTGGCATGTTATTGAACTCAGGACCTGTGCTTGTCAGGCAGGTGCTTAGACATGGAGCTATCTTCCCAGCCCCTCTCCTCCCCCCCCCCCCTTTTTTTTTTGAGACAAAACTACTAATCACTCACTGTGTAGTAGAGTTCCGAACTCACTATATAGCCCTGGCTGACTTTGACCTCATGGCAATCCTTCTGCCTCCATCTCCCACGTACTGGGATTAATTCCAATATTCTGGAAACCTAGGCAAAAAGATTCCCCCAAATTCAAGGCCAGTATGAACCACACAGTAAGACCCTATTTGAAAATAGTGAACTTTTCCTGGGCAACTTAGCAAGAAGACAGTATTTGAAAGAAAGAAACTTTATGGGCCCAGGGAGATAGCTCAGTAGAATAAGCACTTGCCTGGCAAGCACAGGGTCCTGAGTTCAATCCCTAGTACCTTGGGACTGGGGAGATGGCTCAGTAGAATAAGCGCTTGCCTGGTAAGTGCAAGGTCTGAGTTCAATCCCTGGTTCTGTCAAAAAAAAAAAAAGAAAGAAAGAAAGAAAGAAAGAAAGAAAAAAAGAAAGAAAGAAACTTTATGGGCCTGGCAGTCTAAAGCGCCTGTTTAGGCAAGCTCAGGCAAGTACAGGGACCAAGGTCTGATCCCCATATGCTGCAACAGCCCCGCCCACAGGGCGGGCAGAACAGGCCACCAAAAAAAAAAAAAAAGGTTAGGGATGTAGCTCACAGGGTAGAGTGCTTGCCTAGCATATGTAAGGCCCTGAGCTCAATCCCAGAACCACAAAGTAAACACACAAACCAAAATGCTAGAAGTCTGAAATCAATGTGCTGGCAGAGCCAGCTTCCCCCAAAACCTGCTGGGCAATCCCTCCTGCCTTCCCTAGTTCCTACTGGTTGGCTAACAGTCTTCATGTTTCTTGTCATACAGCCACGTGGCTCCAGTCTGGCTTTGTCATCATGTGGCCTTCTCCTTGTGTTCTGTCTCCCCATAATCACTTCCTTACAGGGACTCCAAGAGTGTTGAATTAGGGGCCCCCTCCAGGATTACCTTACCCCAAGGAATCAGCTCTGGAATAACCATGTTGCCAAGTAAGGTCACATTCTGAGGTCCAGGAATTAAGATTTCAATGTATCTTTTGGGAAGAAAAAAAAAAGTCAAGGAGATAGCTTAGTGGCATAAGTGCCTGCCTGGCAAGTGTAAAGTCCTGAGTTCTATCCCTGGTACCTGAAAAAAAAAAAAAGTTTTACCTTTAAGGTCAAATTCATGAGCCAGGCATGACAGCACACCTGTAGCAACACCCTGGGAGGCTGAGCCAGGAAGATGTATAATCCCAGCACTTGGGAGGCTGGAAACAGGAGAATCACTATGAGTCTGATCTCCATAGTGAGACCCTGTAAACCCTGTACTGAAAAAAAAAAGCTAGTGGGAAGCCTCTAGGTTCTCTAGGTTCAAATTCCATCTTCATAAAGGGAAAAACGTAGTTTTGTGGTATCTAATGGTCAATAGGATATGGGGTTTTCTTGTCTCT